CGAATTACTAACACATCTAGAAAAGCTAAGGAATTGTTTGCCTCTAACACAGTTACACACCTGGCTGCAGAGCTCCACCATGTCAAGCAAGTTTTGCATGACAACAAGTTTCGAGTCCCGCGCCGAAGCAGTGAACGAGTGAAGCCGGCCACAGTCGTGTAAGTGAAATTTCCGCCCCAGAAGATATTTCCTAAAATGCTGCAACGACTTTACCACAGCTAGCAATTCGCGTCTTGTGACACAATAGTTCCTTTCCGGCCTCCTGGTATGCGATATTGCAACTTTCATCCCAGCAGAAATGTCGCTTCTCCTCGGTTAGCTTATGCAGAGGTTTGGCTATATCTGCAAAGTTCTTCACAAATCGCCGGTAATAGGAGCACAAACCCAAAAATGCTCTAACCTGCGTCTTGTCTTTTAGAACCGGCCAATCCTTGACAGCGGCGATTTTCTCCGGATCCGTGCGGATACCTTCTTCCGATACTAAATACCCCAAAAAGTTGACTTGCTGTTTGAATAGTGAACATTTCTTCGACTCAACTTGAGGTTGGCACTCTGAATCTTCATGAGCACGCGTTCCAGGTTTTGAAGGTGTTCCTCAAGCGTACGGCCCACGATGATGATGTCATCCAAGTAGACCAGACAGGCATCGCCAATTAGCCCGGTAAGTACAAGCTGCATCAGTCTTTCAAACGTTGCTGGAGCATTGCACAATCCAAACGGCATTACTTTAAATTGCCACAGACCCTTTCTCGTCGAGAACGCAGTTTTCTCCTTGTCCTTAGGGTCAATTTCAACTTGCCAGTAGCCACTTTTTAGACCAGCGTGCTAAACCACTTTACTCCTGTAAGCATGTCCAGCGTGTCATCAATTCTTGACAAGGGATAGCTGTCCTTCTTAGTAACGTCGTTCAGACGGCGGTAGTCTACACAAAACCGCATGCTGCCATCTTTCTTCTTTACCAGTACCACGGGTGACCACCATGGACTAGATGAAGGTTCAATAACACCATCCTTCACCATTCCCACAATCATGGTTTCCACTTCCTTTTCACGTGCTTTTTTTTTTTGCAATTGGGGAAATGCCTACGCATACCCACCTCGCGGGGGGCAAGGACGGGTTATGTCGGACTCGCACCGACTAAAACCCCATGGTGTTCCACCATTGTCGCATATTGGCAGGGCTACGGGAACGCTTTCGCACACATCCGCGGCCCTACTAGCGCCTGCCGTCCCATGGCAGCACCTCCTCGGGAGAGGAAAATTCCTCCCCGTTCTCCTTCCCAGGTAAGGCGCACCAGAACACATGGCGCGCCTTCCTCCACGGCCTCCAACTACGTCTGTGCAACAGACGCCCCCGCGTCCGATGCACAAAGGCCATGGGGCCAGGAAAAACGAGCACTTGGAAGTACTAGCCTTCCCGACCCCAGCGGCGGATCTGGTCTATGGCTCCGCCGCCAACCAAGATTCGGCTGCGGAGGGTAGGGAGAGCGGCGCCTCGCAATACCGACAATCCTCTCCCCCCGCAGCCCCACCACCACCGCATCAACGGTGCGGCCCCGTTTGAGTCGCGAAGGATAGGGCGAGTGGCGCATCGCCATACCAACACTCCTCTTCCTCCGCGACTCCACCTCGGCTGCAGCGGTAGAGGGTGCGCGAGTCCCCACTCGCTGCAGTCCACCAGCACACATCCGAAGTGGGCTCCCCAAGCCCACTCGGAGCGGCCACCTCAGGTCGGCCCTTCACCTCGGGCCAGCCACGTGGGTTCCTCTTTGTTCACCGTGGGAGACCAAGCCACGGCTACTAAGCCCCCCCGCCACGACAAGGCTGGAACCCGTTCGGGGGGGTCCTTATCACGTGCTACCGGTAAACTTCTTGGCCGCTGACGGATAGGCAATTCTTCACCTGTGTTTGTTTTGTGTTGAACTAGCCAGTCTTTCCTATGTCAGCATCGTTTGATGAGAATACATAGGCATACTTGAGTTACAACTTCTTCGCTTTGACCATTTCATTCGGGGAGAGATCGCTGCGACAGTCTTCTTAAAGTGTACTCACTCTCGTTTGTGCATCCTTGCTGGGGGTCCCAGTCGATAGATATTGGCACCAACGTAACCAATCCACTTCCTCACAAGTACCAACCAGTGTGCCTTTTTCTATAATCTGTTCCTGGCCACAAAGGTTCAGCACACGTGCTCCTGAGATGTTAGTGGTTCTGACCAAGGTTCGAGCCACTTTCCATGGAAGGTCATTTTCTAACCTTTCCACGAGTACACAACGATGAGGTTTCCCAGGATTCCGAGGAAGACTAACCGGCACAATCGTTTCCGATCTCGCCGGAGGAACAATCTTCTCAAGGCTGTACACGTTCCCTGATAACGCTCCTTCCACAAAAAGTTCCTCTTTTCCACATTTCAAGACACCTTGCTTAACGTCAATCGAACGACAATTCTTCCTCACGAAGTCTAGGCCCAGGATGCAGCCGTCCATTATATCAGCCACGACGACATTATGCAGGTATATCATGTTGCCTAGCTTCAACTCCATCTCTTTCTCTCCACGGACGGGTATACGCTGACCGGTGGCTGTTACCAAACTAATGCGTTATCGGTTGTAGAGTCTCCAAGGAACTGACTTATAAGTTGGGAACTAACAACCGTACGAGAGGCTCCAGTATCTATGGTCAGTTTACACGGCATTCCGTTGACCTCGCCCTTGATGATCAGACCGTTCCCGTCATGGGTTTGTGAGATCGAGATTCTTGGGGCTCTTTTAACATCAGCCAGCACCCGCCCCGCAGTTCTAGCTTTTACTCGTTTCCCTGCTGCTGCTGGGCGGGGCTGTTAGCCGCACCACCCTCCTGATATCGTTCACCTTCCCTTTCTACGGTTCGCTTAGGGCAGCTGGATCGAAGATGGACCCTTTCCCCAACGCATAGCACCTAGGGCTGTATCCTTTATTGCGGTCGTGAACCATAGCTGCTGCAACCTGCCTGACGCCATGGGAGTGAAGATCCTGCTGCACGGCTTCCACCTCCAGTGCATGGGCCAAGGCGTCTTTAAGCGTCTCGTGGTGCCCGAGCCTCACAGCAGCCCTGACTTCAAGGTCGCGGATGCCGTCGATGAATGTCTGAACCAGGTTCCCTTCAATGAGCGCAGGTACCGACTGGTATGCTTTTCGAACCATCTTCTCCACCTGAAGGGCCCACTGCTGCATGTTTTCGTTGCTGCGTTGCACGCGATCTTTAAGCTGCGCGCGAAAGACGTGTTCCAGGTGAGCTTCGTCATATCTCGCCTCCAACGCCTCAAGGAGCTCCTCGTAGGTCACTTTCTTACCGAGAGCTTCCATCACAGTTAAGGCTTGGTCGCGCAGGCCTAGGGTGAGTGCAGTCATGGCTTGGCTTTTATTCCAGCCGTTCGCCTCCATGACGGCCACGAACTGGATTTTGTAGGCCGACCAGGAAGAAGTCCCGTCGAACGTTGGCATTTTGAATCACGTAGCGAAGGTGTTGAAGATACTACGGGAGCTGTTGTTCCATCCTCAAGTTTGAGGTCGTCCAGCGTTTTCTTTACGTCAGCCATCACGTTATCAACCCGATAGTTCACTTGATCGATTTGGGTTTTAGCTTCCTTGATTTGGGTTTCAGCTTCCGACAGGCGTTTGTCATGTTGAGCAACCCTATCCTTCACCTCCCTTATCTCTTTCCCAAAGGTAGCATGAAGGTCCTTCATAAGGAGCATCTGCTCTTCCAACCGACGGGCCTGTTCCTCTTGTCCGCCCCGCAGCTGCTCTTCCAACCGAGGGACCTGTTCCTCCTTCGGCGGACTTGTTCCTCCTGTCGGCGGGCCTGTTCATCTTGTCCGCCCCGCAGCTGCTCTTCCAAACGACGGACCAGTTCCTCTTGTCCGCTCTGCAGCTGCTCTTTCAACTGACGGACCTGTTTCTCCTGTCCGCTCTGCAGCTGCTCTTTTAACTGACGGACCTGGTCCTCCTGTCGGCGAGCCTGCTCCTGCAGCATCACCATCAGAGCACCTTAGTCAGGTGTTGCAGATGTAGGAGCTACTGACGGGTCTGCAGCCGGCAGCTGGCCCTCCGACGTCTGCGGCGTTGCACCACCAAATCTTCTCTGGTCCGTCTCCTGCTGGCGTTGACTTCAGGTACGGATACCCTCCGTTTCCTCCTTAAGTGATATCGGCATGATTTTATCCCACTTCTGACACCAATTGTTACGAGTTTGAGGTTCGTTACAATAAAAACTGCCGATTGAATTACCAAAATTAACACTTTAATTTTGGTAATTCAATCGGCAGTTTTTATTGTAACGAACCTCATTGGGGTTCCTCGCCTACCGCGGATCTGTTAACACGTACAGTCTGTGTCTCTCTAAACAAAAATCCAATTAAATAGTTCGTATGGCGTTTTTATTATTAAAATTAGTGTTAATACAAAGTTAAAGTTCACTCCCATAAACTGACGGTGAAAAAACACAGCGAAAAGTGCTAAATCAAATGTGTGCATTCGCTTACAAATTGAAATAAAAATCAAGTGTCCGTTGGTTAAAGTGAATCGAGTGTCGAGCGATTAGCTGCGAGCGCTGATGACTCATGTTCTTGTTGCTAACTAGTGACGAATTACGGACTTAGAAGGGAGCAATCACATTTTTCACTCATAACTTACAAGCTTCTGTAGCCTAGTGTGCAACGACATGGACTGAACTCCGTCGATCTAGGTTTGAAATCTCAGTGAAGTTTCTTTTTTTTAGTATTATCTGGATTGTATTTTTTTTTATTCTTATTTTTTTGTAATGAAATTTCATTAAAATTTTCCTAAGTTTCTGGGAGGGAATTTGAAGGAAACAATTAATACGAACTGCATAAAGAGTAGAATTATAGTTCAATAAAGGATAAATAAGAACTGTTAAAATGTCAAACTCTCAAAATTGTGTGGGCTGCAAAAACTCTATAACGAATAAAGACTCTCTACAATGTATGCAATGCAAGGGGAAATATGATCTGGATTGTGCAAACATCAGCCCAAAGAACTTTCGTCAAATGGAGTGAAAAAAAAGAACATTGGAAATGCCCGAAATGTCTAAGCAAACTACCAAAAAAAGGAAATTCTAACACCCCTGTACGAGGCACCACGGCAACCATAGAGGGAGGAACAACCCTACGTACGGATTCATCCACCGTGTCGCATGTCTTCAAGAGTGGCAATCCCAATGTAACGGTCCGATCCAAGGTGTTAAATCCACCCCCACTCAGTGAGACGAGCAACCCAGTACAAGGCGTTGAGAACATCACCATCAACTCTTACGCGGATATTCTGAATGACTTAAAAATCTACATGAAAAATTTATTGCACGATGAAATGGACAGAGTACAAAAAGCTATCGGTAGTCTTACAAATGCCATCAAAGACCAAAACAGCCGGATTGAGCAACTGGAGGCTAGAGTTTCGATATTGGAGAGTAAGTCGGAAACCAAGCCTGCCCAAAACCCATCCAGTTGAGGGCATCATAATGCACCTGCAGGCTGATATTGCGGAAAGAGAACCAAACCTTACTCTCTAACGACCTAGAAATAGCTGGCTGTCCAGAAACACCCAATGAAAACTGCACCCACATTATTCTGACGGTTGCTAAGAAAATTGGTATGGAGTTGGACGATAAAGACGTCGTATCAGCAGAACGCGTGGGCCCACTTCTCCGGCGAAATAGGACAGCACAACACCGCGCCCAAGCCCTATAGCCGTGCGCCTTGCACGCCATGATACACGGAACGGCCTGCTTCAAGCTGCGCGCTCCAGACGTAATCTCAACAGCGATGGCCTCGAATTACCTGGATCCACCAAACTGTTATATCTTAATGAACGCTTGACAAGATTTAACCGTCAACTTCTTCAAAAAGCACGTTCCCTTGCCCGTGAAGTACAATTCAAATATGTATGGATACGGGAGGGAAAGATATTTGTGCGCAAGGAAGCAAGGGAAACCGCAGATTCAGATTAGAAATGAAATGGACTTATCAAAGGTTTTTAAGTATAATGACAGCTGATATCTTTCCATCCCATACACACCAACTAACTGTTTTTTATGTGTTTTGGTATCGTGCAAGGAATGTATTTAATCGTTTCTTTTAAATTTACTTCCTGAAATCTGTAATTGAGACTATTTCTACACAAACAACTAGCACCTCAACCACACTTTCTGACACACCGTACACATCCCACTTATTCATCACAAGTTTTATATTACTTTAAATATTTATTATTATCATATCAAGTTATTATATCCTAAATGTATTAAAAATAAATATCTAAGAATAGGTCTATTAAACGCAAGATCTCTGAATACTGGGCAGGATGAATTTCTTGTGGCTGTCCGTAATCACACTTCTGATATATTAGCTATAAATTAAACGTGTTAAAAGATGGAGAAGATGAATTTGCGCCTATAATACCAAATTATAAGTTTGTGCATAGAGGTAGGCAACAAAAAAAGGGAGGAGGTGTAGGCTTTTATATTAAGCAGGAAATAAATACTAAAGTACGGCAACACCCAGCGTCGTCTCTAAAGCAGATGTGGCTAGAAATTCAACTCCCTTGAGCTTCAATGGTCCTTGGCACGGCCTAATAACCTAACAGTGTTGGTGTTACAGAAACACTGGACGCTCTGAGTGACTCCTTGAATTCAATAATCGCATTGTGCCATACAATGCGATTACACTTGCATACCTGGCGATTTTAATGTCGATATGACAAACAAACATTGCAATAGAGCAAAAGATATAATGCAATTCTGCTATCAACATAACCTTGAACAACTCGTCAAAGAACCAACGAGAGTCACTGATCAGACTGAAACTATTTTAGATCTCGTCATGACTAACACTCCCTCAAGATGCAAAAACATTAAACTTATACACAATCGTTGTCTTAGTGATCATATATCGATAGATAGATAACGGTGCTGTTAGATTTGGACATAAGAAAACCAAAATTTTATAAACAAGTAAAACAACATAGATTACTAAAAATATTAATTCAGAAGCTTTCGCAAGAGATCTGAAACTTATACTCTGGGACTCTATTTATAATCTAGAGAACGTAGACGAAATGGTTCAAACTTTCAACGCATATATGAGTCAATTATTTGATGCTCATGCACCTGCCCGTACGCTGACGATAAGGGACAAACCAAAGCCATGGATTACAGATATGTTGCTATTCATGATGAGTTTACGTGACGATGCGTTAAGTAAAAAGCCCAGAAGGATAAAAAAGGTTATTCAAATGAATACTACCGAACCCTTAAAAATTTAGTCACAGCAACCCGTAAACGCGAACGAAAGCTTACTTTAACCATTATATAAACAACAACTTAAAAGATCCGAGGTCTCTGTGGCGTTTAAATACAATTCCACACCATCCCAATGCCCAATGACCCGAGTATTATTAATGACTAATTTCTAAACTTGCCGCCATGTGATAAACCAGAACTCAAACAAGGTTATAAAGTATGTAACGAATGCTCACACGATACCCTATTCGACCTAAACCCGACAAATGAAATAGAAATCAGTAAGATTATCAATAAAATAAAAATAAAAGCCGCAGGGCACGATAACTTAAATATTGAAATGCTCAAATTAACTTTACCTGTAACTCTCCCTATTATTACATTTATAGTAAACAAGTAGATCGGAACCAGTACATTCCCAACGCAATGGAAAAGAGCTCTAGTCAAGCCTATTCCAAAAAAGAACACAGCAAGTGAACTAAAAGATCTGCGCCCTATCTCGATCCTCCCGGTGTTGTCTAAAGTCTTAGAAAATATTATACTTTGTCAAATGCTAAATTACTTAGAAACGAATAACCCTCTACCAAAGTTTCAATCAGGGTTCAGAAAAGGGCATGGCACGGAAACTGCCCTCTTAAATGTCACTGACGATCTAACAGAGGCCTCCGATATGGGATTGAGCAGTATTATGGTGCTGTTGGATTACACGCGGGCATTTGACTGTCTACAATCTGAAATCCTCTTAAATAAATTAGAGCACTATGGCTTTTCTAAAGACACATGTAGATGGTTTCAGTCATTCCTATCCAACAGAGAACAAATTGTGGTAACAGATGGATGCAACGGTGGCAAGAAATTCTCCTCTCTACGGAAAATTGTAAGAGGAGTACCCCAAGGCTTCTTACTCAGTCCTATTTAGTTCTCTCTATACACAGCAGACCAACCTAAGCAAATAAAACATTGTAAATACCATTTATACGCAGACGACACCCAGCTGTATTATTCTTTTGACCCCAGGGATATTAAAGAGGCAATAAACAGAATAAATGAGGATCTCCATAATATCCAAACCTGGTCCCAAAAAAATTCTCTAGTATTAAACGCAACTAAATCACAAGTACTAGTTTTGGGCACAAAAAACCAAATAAAAACTATTTTAGCAGCAGGAAACGATTAAAATAGAAGAACACAAAATCTCAATTAGACAAGCATTGTCAAGAAGTTCGTACTTTAAACTTAAAACTTTATACAAAATAAGACCGTATATTAAAGAGGACCTACCCTTTCTCTTGTGTGACTCATTGGTGTTATCACGATTGAGCTACTGCAGCTCAGTCTTTGGCCCTAAATTATCAACTAATACCTAAAGAGCAATACAGAGAGTACAAAATGCATGTGTTCGATACTGTTGTAATGTACCAAGAAGACAATTTACAACCCCATACTTAAATAAAAAAGGCATAATCAATATGGGTGCCAGGAGAGAATTACACTATGCTTCGATAGTCCAAAAGGGAATTTTGAACAAAAAGCCAGAATAGCTTTTCGAAAAACTCACCTGGATCAAAGATATTTCCTGTCGAAGTATTCGTTCTCACACACAAATGCTCCTCCACACGCCCGCACACAAAACAGCAAGATATAGAAATTGTTTCAAATTCACTGCAGCGAGAATTTGGAATGACCTCCCTCCACTCATGAGAAAGAAAATGTCAATAGATTGCTTCAAAGCCAAATATAAATTGGCTCTGTTAAAAAGACAACTCGCTGCAGAGAATTTTAAGTCACTACCAACAGCTTTCAATTGCTCTAGTGAATATTCATTATTCCAAAAGACACCTAAAAGAACTAAGTTACTAAACAAACACAACGTAAATAAGGGTCCTAACTAAGACGATCACGCCAAAAATATTACAAACGGCCTATTATTAAACCTTAGAAAGATCGTTTAGAAAGATCAAAACATATTTTATTAATCTTGGTCACAAATATATATAATTATTATGTAAAGGGGAATATAATACATTTAGTATTTAATATATTTATTATTATGAGAGAGGGGTGAAGCGTTACAATACGAAGAGCCCTAAACACCGTAAATGACTGTGTGTAGGGATAACAGCTTATCAGTTAATGTTGATAAAAGTAATATAATACCCTTTACCAAAAAAGAAGGTTGGAAAAAAGTTATACCAAAAATTAATCGTAAAAAAGTACCATTCTCCACTGAAGTTGAGTATTTGAGCGTAACAATCGACCAAAAACTAACGTGGTACTCTCACTTTAGCAATTTATGACCTATGGCTAAAATTGCTTTATGTACGTGCAGTCGTTTGGTTGGAAACAACTGAGGCCAGCGTCTCAGTATGATTCTATGGCTGTACAGCATAGTGAGGCCGATTTATACCCACGCGTCCGTTGCCTAGTGTAATAAGGCCAACGACTGCGGGCAGACTAAATAGTGTACAAAGGACTGCCTGTCTAATGGAAACTGGTGTGATGCGATCATTGTCTGGAGCGGCTCCTAATGAACTTCTATGCCTAACGCCCCTTTTCTTTCATCTTTATGATCTTTATGAAAGAGGCAAGGGCTAGTTTATATAGGATTAATTCACAGGGCGGTCTGAGCTTGTTTTCTTAGAGATTGAGATCCATGCTCGACTCAATTAAGGAAACACCGATCTTATGCATGATCTCAGATATCATACGTCCACTATACATGTTTAATAAAAAGTGCATAGGAGAAGTCTGGCTGAATGGAACGGTTATCTCTGAGGTCGGTAGCCTTATATATACCATGAGAATGAATGTGGGTAAATTCACCTCTATCTTTCAGGCAGAATTTTCGCCATACTTCAGTGCTCGGAAATCAACATGCAAACACTACGTCAACCATATAATCTATATAAATTCAGTTAAGATCAAAATTAATGAACTTGAAGCTAGTTGGAGACTGGGTGAATCATCAAAACGCCATGTGGTGTAACAGCAGGGACGTTTTAAGATAGGTTCCGGGCCATGCGGGTATTGTAGGCAATTATTTATTTATTTATTTAAAAACTTAAACGTAACACCTTAAGCTAAAGGGGTACATAGGGCGGACTTAATGCCATGTGGCATTCTCTGCCAGTCAACCCTGGGTGCCAAGGACAATTGTTGGCAGGTGCGACCATTATACGTAAATAATTACATTAAAATATATACATACATT